CTCGAAGTCGCCCAGGAGCAGCAGAGACGGCTGCAAGGCCACAGTCACCTGAGTCAAATCTTTGTCCACTCTAGACTTGCTTAAGATAGATGTTAAGTGGCTCTGAAATGCAACCCTTCGTGTGAAGGCGTGTTGCACCCAAACGCACACGCCTGGCGCTTCTTGAAGGAAACCTGAAATGTTGGAGGCCGGTTGCGGCGTCATGGATAAGGCCTAGGATTGCAAATTGAAGTGATGTGCTACCGGTCGCTTCGCACAGCAGACAGGAACCCCAATCGGGACAGGCTCAAGAGGCTAAGGACATCGTTTTGTCTCAGCAGAAGTGCGCTGGCAAGCATGCAAACATCCCCGTGTCAGGGCCGATGGGCGGCAATTAGTCAGGGGCTTCCCGTCGCAAGGCTGCCTAGAGCTGGCTGATGCTGGCTTACGTGGTGCCGACGGCCCGAGTGAGCGGAAATCGTTGACGGCCGCCAGCTGTGTAGAGAAGCCCGCAGGAATCTCGCTGTTCACAGGCTTCCTCGGCGCCCCTATACTTCCGCAACAGCGGGCTCTCGGAGATGCAAAGCAGACAGCTCCTCATCTAACTCCCACAGCAGTCCTCGAAGTTTCCCCGCTTCGTGCGCCCAGGTGACTGAAGCTGTAAAACCAAGTCACGCAAATAGTGTCAGGAAGATGTCACTATTCCACCCTATGTAAAGCCCACACCCTATACCCCTGACCGCCTGCGAATGATTCGTACAGCCACCTTGGGCCAGGCCTTGCAGCGCATAGCACCGAAAGGCTCTGAAAGCAGGCAGGGGCTCGAAGACTACTGTAGGGGCCTAAATAATTACCAATACTATTGTGGGGGTTCCTTATTATAATCAAAGTATAATGGGCCCCCAAACCCTATTCTAATTGTTAAGGCCCTTATATTATGAATGATACAAGGGTTCCTTTTTTTTGAAGGGCTCTATAGGGCTGTAAGGGTTGCTTACTGTCGTGAGGGTTCCAGAACATGGGAACATAGGGCATTGGTGTTTAGAATCGGCTTTTGGTGTATGTTATGGCAGAACTATGCAGGGACTACTATAAGAATTGGATACATGAACTAAGACGAAGAATTTCTTCAGACCTCTATAAAGTTTAGCTTTGGACTCAACATCGGCAAATTAGAGTTTAAGATCCCCTATCAGTAATTAATTAAACCGTATTCGAAGAACTAAGGTCCGTAACAAAGTTCGATCACTGTTTGTCCAGAAAGCACCCAAAGTAAAGATACTGTAGCTTAAACCCTAAACCCCTATCCTACCTTTTGGGTATATACAGGTGCCATGGAGCGACAATTCCAGAAATCCTAGATCGTGAGACCCATTTATGTTTAGATGCTTTCTTGTTGCTGCTATACAACTCCATTTTCATTTAGGGGCTCAGGGTTTCGGGTTTAGGGTGAAATGTTCATGACCCTATCGGCTTGGTGTTTATGGCCTTTTGGGGTTCCCAGGAGGTTCCGAGGAAAACATATGCAGAATGAACCCTAAACCCTGAACCCTAACCCTAAACCCTATTAAACCCTAAACCCTAAACCCTAAACCCTAAACCTTGAACCCTAACCTACATTCTTTGCTGTGGCCGTTCTATGCTCTTCTACGCTGGCGGGCCCAGGGTCCCCGATTTCGGGTTTAGGGTTTAGGGTTTAGGGTTTAGGGTTTAGGGTTTAGGTCCTGCTTGGGTTGGATTTACGGTAAATTCGTTGTCTGTTCGGTGTTTTGGAGTGGCTTCTCGGTTCCCAGCCGCTGCAGACCTTTGTGGCTTTCGGGCTGTTTGCTACAAAGTACAGCAAGAAGCTATGAAAGCCATGCCTCGGTGCTTACTTGCAAGTCTTCCACACACCTACACTACTTAACTATACCTATATGTAGCTTTTGACCAGAAAAAGGGGCCCGAATAGTAAGAGCCTTAAGAAGATCCCAAAAGCACCCTCAGCCCCAAACCCTAAAACCCTAAACGCCCTAAACCCTAAACCCCAATAAGAGCCATAAGAGGCCCTATAAAACCCTAAACCCCAATAAGAGCCATAAGAGGCCCTAAACCCTAAACCCCTACAAGAGCCATAAGAGGACCTCTAAACAACTAAGCACCCGACAAGAACCCTAAACCCTAAACCCTAAACCCCTATAAGAGCCATAAGAGGACCTCTAAACGAAGCGCCCGACTTAAGAACCACCTCTTCTTCGGAAGGCCCTCGCGTGGAGCCGTCCAGAAGTGAGTCTGGAACATGGCCGAGGCCGGCTTCAGGAATGTAGGGTTTAGGGTTGTGGGTTTAGGGTTTAGGGTTTAGGGTTGAGGGTTGAGGGTTTAGAGTTTAGGGTTCAGGGTTTAGGAGGGCCTTAATAATACTTTCCTATAGTATTTTGTTGGGGGGTTCCTTCTCGTATTTATGGTATAATGGGCCCCAAAACCCTATTCTAATTGTTAAGGCCCTTATAGTAGGGGCCTGAGAAGTTGGAATAGGGTTGTGTGCTCCTTTGTAGTGTAGAAGGAATAATCTCTGTAGCTATTTAGGCTTCCATATTTTGTTGTTTTGGGTTGCAAGATTTTGTAGTTTAGGGTCTGGGGATATGCGCATTGGGTGGAAAGTTACAGCTTTCAAGACTTATGCAATTTTCGTTTCTAGGGTCAGGGGAAACAATGACGGGTTCGGAGGTTGAGTAGGCAGGATTGCTGCCCATGACATCCCGTCCGGCTGAGGCAGAGCAAAGTGCAAAAGACCTCGAAGCGCTGCTCAAGCTGCAGAAGTTGCAGCAGCTCTTCCAAAAGACCAAGCCTCCGCCGCAGCCAACAGAGCCAGCACCTGCAAAAGCAGAGCCTGCTACAAAAGCGCCCGAGCTGCCCAAAGAGCCGCCAGCACCTCCACCTCCCACACCACCCCCCACGCCACCGCCACCACTGCCGGCAGCACCGCCCGAGCCGGCTCCTCCTCAGCCATCTCCCGTTCAACCGCCTTTGCCCGAACCTGCACCACAACCAGCACCTCCTCCTGAGCCAGCTCCTGCGCCGCCTCCTGAACCATCACCTCCGCCTGAGCCTGAGCCTGCACCTCCACCGGAGCCATCAGCACCACCGGAGCCGTCAGCACCACCGGAGCCATCAGCACCACCGGAGCCATCAGCTCCGCCTGAGCCAGCCTCTGAGACAGGAGCCCCGCCACCAAAACCGGCGGATGGAGAAACAGCTGCAACAGCGACGGAGAAGCCTCCGGAGACGGAAGCGGGCAAGCCGCCAGCGCGCAAAGCCTCAAGCTCATCTTCTCCTTACGTCCGGCGCCACTTTCGCCGATCGCCCTCTGGCAGGCGGCGGTCTCGCTCCCGACGGCGCTCGCGGTCACGGCGAGGGCGGCGCTCGCGGTCGCGCCGTGGTGGCCGGCGGTCACGGCGGCCCTCTCGCGATCGGCGTCCTTCGAGGCCTTCACGGGCAACGCCATCTCCCCTGAAAGATCGCGCACGTGTGCGGATCGAGGAAGAGAAGAAGGCCAAGCAAGCCGCAGAGGAGGCTGAAGCGGCACGGGCCGAAGCTGCCAAGAAGAAGGCAGAAGAGGAGGAGCAGAAGGATGGGGCGCAAGCTGAAGGTCAGCCCGCGGAGGCCCAGATTCCCTCGAACACGGCACAGGCCGCAAAGGAGATCGCTGAGCGGCTGGCAAAGCAGACGCAGGAGGCCGCAGCGAAAGCAGCGGCAGATAAGGAAGCGCAGACTGCAGCCAACCAGGCCAACAAAGAGGCAGAGGCGGCTTTGATGGCACAGCAGTCCCAGCTCCAGCAGCAACAGATGCTTTGGGACCCCCAGCAGCAGCTCATGCAACAGCAGATGCAGATGGCGGATCCTACGCAGGCACGGCGCAAGTATCCGGGGCACCGAAAAACCGGTAGTCATATTCGCCGAAGCCTAACATCACTGATGCAAAGTCTGTTCGAGATCCCACATTCAGCAAAATTTATTTTGCCGTGTAATCAGCTGATGAATGAGCTTGCCTGCGATTCATCGTTTAATGCTTTTCGGCCAAAAGCCCATACTATTTTAGAGTATTTTGGGCTATGTTGAGCCATAGGGCCTTGGGGTTAGTATCAAGCTCGACACCACGCCGCTGCTTCTAATACTAATTAAATAAGGAAGACCTATGAATCCTCGGAAAAATAGTTCGGCTTCGTCGGAGGTCTATGGTCAGGACCCGGCTCTCATGCAGCAGGCAGCAGCATCGTGGAAGACTGCTGTGGGAACTTGCTTCTGAGGGTGAGAGATTGTATGCATGAGTGAATGCACGAATGAATGAATGTACGTAGGTAATTAAGTAAGAACCTATGCATGCATGTATGTATGTATGTATGTATGTATGTATGTATGTATGTATGTATGCAAGTACGTATGTATGTTGTAGTCATTACTATACTGATATCAATTGCCTCTTTTCACGGCATCATCAGCAGCAAAAGTACAAGTACCCCATTCGCATCATGTTGGTCTTAATCTTCATCTTCAATATGATTACCCAAGCCCTGTGCCTTCGAACAACTAGCTTCCTCTCGGCCAGCAAGGCATGTCAACCACTTGGTTTGTGTTCTACTCGTCCAGCTCTATCTTCAGCCTCACGCACCTTAGACGCCTAAGCCCTCAGCAATTAACAAACTAAGGAACCACGTATACAGCCCAAACCCTAACAGCCCCAAAGCCCTAAATCCTCGGCACAGAAAGCCTTAAACCCTGAACCCTGAAAGCCCTAAACCATGAAAGCCCTAAACCCTAAAAGGCCTAAACCCTGAAAGCCCTAAACCCTAAACTCTGAAAGCCTTAAACCCTAAACCTTGAAACAAGCTCAGAAAATCAATCTCCCAGCGAGGCAATGCTTCAGCAGCAAGCTCTGATGCAGGCCTGATACTGCCAGCATAATAGAGGGTCCTTAATTATTGCCTATACTATTTTTGGGGGGGGCTTCCTTGTCCAAAACTCTACTCTAGTTGTTAAGGCCCCTATATTATGATTGCAGGAGGCTTTTAATAATGAATAGGGGTTTAGGCTTTAGGGGTTTATTAATTTGAATAGGGGGTTAAGGTTTAGGCTTTACGGGTTTATTAGTTTGAGTATGGTTTACCTGTACTATTTTGGGGGTTCCTTACTATAATTACATTAGAATGGGCCCCAAAACCCTATTCTAATTGTTAAGGCCCCTATTTTAAGGTTGTAGGAGGCTCTTGGTGATTTGAATCGGGTTCGGTTTGTGCTATGCTACAACTATATGAATTCACATTATATACATACATATTTCTACACACACGTATAGATGCACATATACATATCGTGAGAGAGAGAGAGAGGGAGAGACAGACTTGTACTTCAAGGGTATAATATTGCTACCAACTTTCAAGCTTTATCATTCGGGGTTTTGAGAGATTTAAGTCTTAGGCTTCAGTCTGCCAGGATTTCTTGGGTTTATAGGGCTCAATTTACTGTGTTTTCGGGCTTAGGCGTTTGGTTTGGGGCGCTTGGCGTCATGTACGTCTTTTAGTTGTAGGGCTTTTGCAGGGCATAGGGTTCATATTTAGGGTCTGTCCTGTGTCTTGAGATGGGTACCAGAAAAGGGCATGGGGCCTAAATGATTACCAATACTATTTCGGGGGTGCCCTATTATAAGTATATTATAACGGGTCCAAAACCCTATTCTGAGTTTTTGTTGGCATCTCTGTTGAATTGGGTAGAGCACTTGGTACTTGCACGAGCTGTGTCATTGTTCGGACACTTCCTGGGACTTCCAAGGCAGTACATGCTGTACGCGAGTGTAGGCATCTCGGTAACCAGTGCTCTTCATCACGGTTTTCCAAGCAAGCTGTCCCTAAACCCTAAACCCTAAACCCTAAACCCTAAACCGTTGCAGGCATATGGCATGCCGCGGTCTCAGCTTGGCAGTGGGGGCTGCTCCGAAATAGGCTTCTCCTCCCTCAGACAGCCGCAGCTTCGAACAGCCTTCAATCGAGTCTGAGTTCGTCATACTATAACCCTTACCCTCAAAGGACTCATATTTCAGGCTTTTGGGTCCAAAGGCCCTATTATATAAGGCTTCTGGGCTATGTTGATGCCAAGGGTAATCGTAGATAAGCAACCCCAAAATAGGATTGGGAAGTAGTATTGGGAGCCTGAGTAGTCCCCAATACTATTTTGTGGGTTCCTTGTTATCTATCATTTATGGCCATATAACATAACCCTAAAGCCTAAAACCCCATTCAAGTGATAAGGACCCTGCATGATGGCAATGGTCCAGGGTTCAGGCGTTTCATATAGGGGCCTTAATAATTAGCATAGGGTTTGGGGGGTATACTATACTATAATCATAATACAGAACTCCTAAAGCCCTATTCCCATTATTCAGGCCTCTACATTAATTCATGGAGTTCGAGCTCCGGCTTACTGCAGGGCTTGTGGCGGCTGTGCGATGGGCCCGGTCCCCAGCTTCGCATAACATTGTGGAATATGTATTGTCAGAAACACTATATGCAGCATGTGGCAATAATGCATAGATCGACGATAGGTGTATATATATATATAGATATGTACATATATGTTACATATATATATATATATATTCTTGTAATATAGAAAAACAGTATACTTGGTATTCCAGTTCGACTGTGCTGATGGTCTATAGACGCTCGATTCGTCATTCAGTTTTTTGCTAGGGCTATCGGGTACAGCTTTCGTAGACGCATGCCTGCAAACACTGAACCACTGACACACAGCATCCTACAGTTGAGGCCACAGATACCCAAGCTAGGGAAGCAAGACGACGATGACGATTACAGCAGGAGCATCACGGTCATGGGCATAAGCACATGGCATCCTCGGACCTTGAGGGGTATCTCCAGTAAAGAAAACATCACTGCATCTGCATGTGCACAACATCCCAGAAGCCCTAAACTAACCCCACGTGGTGCAGTCTCTGAACCTCATGAGGAATGGATCCCACTGCGTATGCCGCGGACTTACTGCATGTGAAGGTTCTACTGCGATCCAAGGAATCGTGGGCTTTGGTCCCCGATCATGTATGGCTTGATTCATATTTGTGGTGAGCACCTTCGACGGAACCTGAAGTCAGAGGGCTGCCCCGAACCCTACACATACAGTCGGGACAGTAGTTCATGACATAAAGGCCCGATCGTAAGACCTTTCTGGAAACAAGAGAAGCAGAACGTTCGGGTTGTAGGACTTAGCAGAGGGTGCTCAGCTCCGCAGAAGGCGGCATGGGAACGAAAACGAGCTGGAGTGATGTTTGGTTCTTCCCCTTCAGCCTCAATCCCTACGCCCCTAAGCCCTCAACCAAACGAGCCTGTGAAGGCTGCAGCGATGGGCAGTCCTTTCGCAGCACAGCAGGCTCCAGCAGCCGTGCGCACGCGGATCTGCATATGCAGTTCTGTATTTGTTTCCGCACGTATACATGCGCACTAAGGAGTTTAGTGTAGATGCAAAGGTTCACAAGAAAGCATGTAATGTAAGGCTTGCATTTTTGCCGCACGCAGACACTGAGAACGGGCCCAAGTGACACCTGATAGAATCGGAGGTGACACCTGATAGAATCGGAGTCATGAGTAGGCTCCTTCATCGTCGAAAGCCTCGAATATGACTATAGCACAACATACCCCACCCCCTCCAAAAACAAGCAAGAACCTAAACCCTCAACCTCCCGATTTCGGGGAAGCACAGCTCCTCCAAGCAGCCTTTTCGGCGAGCTGCCAGTTTGGCAAACCCGAAACCCCAGACGACCTCACAGGCTCTCGTGGAAGGCCTTACACAATCCACAGTTAATGTTATGTTATGTCATGCTCTGGTTTGTGGTGTTATGTTACGGTTTGCTATGTCATGTTATGATATGTTATGTTATGGTATGATCTGCCATATGTTGATATGTTGTGTCATGCTTTGTTAAGTTGTATTGTATCACATTGTGTTACGTGTTGCTTTGTTTGCTGCGTTATGTTATGTTCCGTGTTCTTCTGTTCTGTTCTGTCATATGATATTATCGTATACAGTAGCATATACTATATTACGGTATGCTATGTTATGCTGTGTTTTGTTGTGTTATGTTGTGTTTATGCTGTGATATGTTGAGTTTTGATATGTTGTATGAAGATTTGCTATTTGTTTAAATGATGTCTTATGTTATGTTCTTCTCTGTTCTGTTATTTTCTGCTATGCTCTGGTCTGCTCTGTTCTGCTATGTAGTTATGCTATGCCATTCTATGTCATGTTATGTTGTGTTACTGGATTGAGCTTCTCTTTGTTTCACTATCCTGTATTCTGAGCCCTACACAATCCCAAACCAGTTGACTGACAGGCCCACACACTACACAAACCAGAAGCCTGACCAAGGCATGCGTGCTGATAAATCGTAAATGTAGGGTTTAGGCAGCCAAACCCCAAGAAAGCACACTTCCGTCAGGGCGATTGTCTAACACATAGCCCGGAACTCTACACTCAACCCGCCAACTCCTTCGTTCGTTAGCACGCAGGCCGTCTACATGCAGGCTCGCCGTTGCTGTCCATGGAGTCTCGAACAAAACATGAGAGCCGGAGATCGACCATGAAAGCGAAGTCGTTCGGTGTCAGAGCAGCAGGAATAATAACGTAGCTTCAGGATGACGGATTAAGAATCCCGATGCTCCGCTACGGGTCTGGGTTTTGAAGGCCGTTTGCAAAGATCTGAACCCCAGAACTGGCCCATGCGATAGCAATTCCCAGCTTTGCTGTTAAGTAGCCTGGCGTTTGGATGGTGGTGTTCGTCGCAGGAATAGGGGTTGGATGAGGACTTGTAGTCGTAGCAGTAGGCATTAATGATTTTCTTAGTATTAGTAGCAGTAGTGGCAGCAGCAGTGGTAGAGTGGTAGGTGGGAGGAGGAGGACGACGACGAGGAGTGCCAGTACTAGTATTCGGCGCCACTGGTAATCTAGCGCTAGTCCGCTAGTACTAGCACTGCTCCAGTACCCACAAGTGTTCCTACAAACAAGGGGAGTGACCAGACAGTGGATTCCCGTTGACCAGGCCCTTAATTAACCCCAATCTCTAAATCCCAAGCCTGTTAATTATTTCATATCTATGGGCTTTAGTGTTTCGAGTTCATTCTCGGTAGCCTGGAAGCAGCAACCTTTGAGATAGAGCCTGTTTCGTGGCTAGGGTCCTACACTACGACTCGGAAAGTAAGAATATTTGACAAAAGGGCATGGGGAGTGAGCTAAAGCCCAAAACAAAAAACCCTAAGCCCTAAAACCATCCTCGGCCTCAGACCCGATCCAAAGCCCGAAAAAGTCCTAACTTAGCTACATGATTACCACTATTAGTCCTTTGGAATCCTTATCTTCAACTATACTATCAAGGAGCCCACAACCCCAAACCCTAAACCCTAAACCCCAACCCCGTGCTAAGTACCAAGACCCAAAAATTTGTAGCTCTTTACTACCCGGCCTACAGGGCTTCCCAAACTCCTAAACCCTGCGCCCGGCCTGTAATATATAGGCCTGAGTAATCATAGGGTTTACGGTTTACTGTTTAGGGGTTTAGGGTTCAGGGTTATTCATCATACTGTATACATTATGACCATGCTGGAATATGCACCAAAACCCTCTTCTAATATGAGCACCTCCAACAACAGTGGAAGGAGGCCGTTTTCAAACCCTTTGAAACCCTTTCCTTGGCTGCTCTTGCAGGCGGGATCTGGAAAGCAATATGGCACCGTCAAAGTCTTCAACCCAGACAAAGGCAGGATCAGCTTTGGGGTGCGATTCAGGGCCTTAGTAGCGAGAAGAAGGTTGTGGGGTAGATTGGTTGGGGTAGTTCGTAGCTGGACTCCATTGATGCCGCAGAGGGATCCTGCTTGTAATGATTGAGACCTCCAGTAAAGAAATTCAGTGTACAATCAGGGTTTCTGGACCTTGCAAGAAAAGTCCCATTACTTAGAGTTCTGGTTGTTTCAAGCGCTTCGGGCTTTGTGCTTGGCCGAGTAGCAGCCCCTGCCTATACTTGTGCCAACGAAGTAACACGTCCTTGAGTCAGTGCATACTATACACCCAAACCTTAAATTTAGCCTTAAGTACCAATTACAATCGCTTAAACGAGAAGTGTAGCAACATCAAACGGCCTAAATACAATTGACCCAGTTGTGTATATATATATATATATATATAATGTATACCTCCATGTCCTATCATATCAGATCATCCAGCCCTAAACCCTAAACCCTAAACCCTAAACCCTAAACCAAAGCAACCCACCCCAAGCCCTGATTATAAGGAATCAGCAGGGCCCCGAGAAGCCACAGCCTTGGATCAGCCAGGAATCCTTTGGCTCCGCCCCCCTGTGTTGAAGGAAGAGCCTTGGGTTTAGGATTTCGGGGTGGGAGTTTTTAGGGTTTAGGGTTCAGGTTTTAGGGTTTAGGGTTTAGGGTTCAGGGTTCAGGGTTTAGGGTTGTTAGGGGTTAGGGCCCGGCCCAACCCAAAACCCCAAAGCATAGGCATAGGCCCAGACTTCAGCTTAAAGTCCGAAGCCATCCGTCCACAAGCCGAAGGCCTAAAACCTTTGTTATGTTCGTATCAGTTCCGAGACCCACAACCCCTGAACCTCAAATCATTGACCACTGAATCCTAAAGCCAAGGTCTGTGCTAAGAGTAACAGTATCCCCCTAGCCTAACGTTCCTAGAAAGCTACATGCTGTAACATGTCTGGAAAGCCTTCTTCCATGCCTGCATGTATGAGAGGTCTTAACAAGCCCGATATCAACCAACATTGAGTAATAGGAACGCCTAAATGATTACCAATAGTATTTTGAAGGTTCCTTACTATAATTACGGCAAAATATACCCAAAACCCTATTCTAATTATTAAGGCCCATACACCCTAAACCCTTATAGCAGCCCTTATAGCACCCTTTAAGGAGC